TGATTATATGTCATGTCTACTGGGGAATATTTATATTTACACTATACTCATATATGGGGATATCTGTGGGCTCACCCAACCTGTCATTCCATTGTAGAGGCATTCCCAGCGAATTGTGATGGATGGGATGGTCGAGAAACAAACATCATTCAGCACGGTGCAAACGACAAACCCAGTGCACGAATTTCTCATCTTCTCAGATCTTCTCAGCCACATTGCATTCAGAAATTTCAGAGATTGGAGATTGGGAAACAAGGCCTTCGTGTCATTTCCGGGTACACATGTCTACCACTGTAATTACTAACTACCATGCTTTGGTTACTCCCAAAAAATGTCCAGGCGCTTATTCAACACGATGGAAGCCTGCTCACAAACGGCTTCGGCTTTGGAGCCATTGATGCCCTTGGAGCGCAAGTCGATCAACAGCAGATGGTTGTCCTTGTCCCAAACTGGGCTTGAAAGAAACATCAGCAAAAACAATAACCCAAAAAGGACAATCCATGTTTAAATGGGCAAATTATCTACATACTGGGCCACTATCCATCGCTATGTTAGTTGACCAGAGGGTAGAAAAGGCATCGCAAAGGCCGCAAGAAATGACAAATTTGAAACAACAGCAGACAGGCCATGACAGAATGATTAATCGCTTTTGAAGGGCCTCCAACAGTTGGAAGACAAGCGTCGGTGCCTCCAGATACCAAATTGAAGTTGCATTTCTGCAAGGATTCGCCAAAGGCTTTGGAGTTCCTTGGGCCAAGCTCCAAAGGTTTCAGATCAACTGTACTCCATATATACATTGAACATCACACCGAACCAAGGATGGGAATGTGAAAGCCGCAGTATCTGTATAGAAACAACAACATTGCTTTGACACAGCATGCATGGATTGGAGACTTCAAATCTTGATCAAGTCGAGACATCCACCACACCACCACGTGTATATGTATGTATATACAGTAAGTACAAATATCATGAAATATCATCACGCACACATAGATACATATACATACTTAAATCCATATATATATACACATACGCCCAAATATCATCAAATGTCATCACACACACAACCACGCATATATATATATATATATATACATAATCATACATTTAAATGTACATTGAGATCAATTGACATAAGCAAATTGAGACAATTGAGACCAGGATCTTGATCACCTGCTCAATATAGGTCTTGAATTCAGGTGAGTTTGCTTGTCTCAAGGCCACCGCCAATGCAGTGATGCTCTGATTGTGAGGACCACCTTGAAGCCCCGGGAAGACGCTGGCGTTGATGCGGTCCTCTAAGTCGTACATGATGGCATTGCCTTTCCTTCCGCTTGAAAACAATGTGGCGGAGGTTGGGCAAAGGAAATCCATTATCTCCTGAATCTATCTGAATCTTCGGAATTCAATGCGTTTTTTCCCGCAACAAAATCGAAACCAAGCATGAACTGCCCGGTATACCGGTTAGTTGATAGGAATTCCCCTCATGGGTCAGGATAAATTATGATAAATTCATATACATCCCATATCCCCAATATATTTGGAACAGAAGCCCCTATAATATCCATTCACCATTCATATCCCATAACCAGATATATAACCAGTAACCAGTCAACCGATCAAGTGGTCACCTGGTCGCCAAGTTTCTTATCCACACCTCGCTGTCCCTTCCTGAAGAAAATCATGGCGCCACGAGGACCACGCAGGGACTTGTGCGTTGTGGTCGTGACGACATCTGCATACCTCAGGCATCTGGGTATATCTGTGGTACACTTCAGTAGACTCTTATAGAGCTATCATAGCTGTGGAATATCACCATTAGTAGTAACTGTTCTACAAGGCTGAGCCATCGATTTGTGAATTGTTCATTGCCGGTGATCAACGTGCACATGGAACACAGCATTGACATCATTGACAAAACAAACAAGTAGGACGTAGGAAGAACTAGAGCATGACATATATCTTAAATTTTGCAGCAGGTCTTTTGACAGCATGTGTGTCGCCCTTGCAAACGACGGTGCTCAAAAGGAGAAGGGATGGCTCCAGCAACCACGAGGCCAGAAATGTGCGCCATATCCGCCAAGAGATAGGCCCCACATTTGTCAGCAATCTCACCTCAGCGACTCAGAGACTCAGCGACTCAGCAACTCGTCATCGGGGATCATCATCCAATCATCATCCCATCATCCTATCATCCCATTTCGGAAAAGGAAACAAATAGAAATGGGATTCTATGGAATTGTATGGGATTATGATCCCCAACCAAATCATCCAAATTCCAAATTTCATTGGGGATCATCATTTATCATAATCGAATTTCTACTTGAAACATTAACATGTTGAAACCACCAACCAGTCACGCATTCGACTGTAGTCAATCAGCCTGGAGTAAGCGCTGGTTCCTGCGATCAAAATCTTTGGGCGGATCCGCAAAGCAAACTTTTCGCACTCGTCGTAGTCGATCAGACCCGTGTCTTCATTGAGGCGATAGGGAATGGACTCAAAGTACTTGGACACCATGGAAATCTTCTTGGTGTCTGTCTGGTAGCCGTGGGACAAGTGACCTTGGATTCTGCCCCAAATCTTGAAGGTAACATTGTGCAGATGCGCAAAGAAAGTCAACGATTACGCACCAATCAGTTGACATGAGGCCACAGGCTCAAGTTGATGTGTTATAAGCTGATCTAAGCTTGAAATAGACTTTAGGCTTCTGCGACAAGAATGAGATGTTTGAACATGATCAAGATAAATAAACAAGGATATCGAGGATAAAAACAAGGAAATATCCCGGGCATCGTGGGGCATTTACCTAGGCTGGATGAGGCCGGGATGTCCAGAGGACCTGGAAAAAGTGCAAAGGCACAATCACATACCTCACATGCATATAGAAATATAGAGAATCAGGTAATTGTTTGCTAGTTTCCACGATTTCAGTACAATATCAATATATCACCTGCATTCATTTTGTCACTTTTTGCCCATCAATTTTTGAGTTTCACAATCCCATGTTTCCACTTCCAAAACCTTTACACTGTAGTACTCAACCATGGCAATGGAAAATCCATCACATGATTTTCTCATATACATGACATATACATGACATTTCTAGGGGATTTCCCTTTCTTTACCATGTTTGACCCCTTGCTTTCGCCGTATGCGTTGGTTTCGGTTCGGTGACCTCCATGGGGAAGGTCCAAGCCCATGATTCGGTCATGGACGTCGCAGAGGGCGGTGAAGACCTGGAAATTCGCCGGAGATCCGCTGAGGGACTGGACGTTGACGCCCCAGTCCTGGAGTGAGATGCGCTGGGAGCATGTAGGAGTTATCGAAGGAAGTTTAGAAGTCAAACTTCCGACAATATGGACAGATGAAAAGCAGAGCAAGGAAGAGGCAGAGAGAAGAGAAAGATTAGAAGAAAGAGGTAGAAGAGAAAGAGTCAGAAGAAAGAAGATGCAGATGCGCGAAAAGGTAGGAAAGTCGCGAAACACAGTGTTTTTCCAATGATTTGTTGCTCCGGGGGGTCGAAAAGTAGGCTCGCTAAAGCGGCGGGTGCGGAGCCAGCTGGCCAGACGAGAGATGAAAAATTGCACGCCGTTGTGGCGCGAAGAACATTTCGAAGTGAAAATATGTACAAAGCACACCATTCTCGGACCACTTTTGGCAATTGAGATGTCGAAAAAGTGCACGCCGTTGTGACGCGAAGCACATTTCCAAGTCAAAGTGTACAAAACACACCATGGTCGGAGCACTTTTGGACGTGGCGATGTCGAAAAAGTGCGCGCCATTGTGGCGCGAAGCACATTTGGAAGTCAAAATGTACAAAACACACCAGCTTCGGACCACTTTTGGAAGTTCAGATGTCGAAAAAGTGCACGCCGTTGTGGTGCGAAGCACATTTGGAAGTCAAAATGTTAAAAACACCTCATGTCGGACCACTTTTGGAAGTTCAGATGTCGAAAAAGTGCACGCTGCTGTGGTGCGAAGCACATTTGGAAGTCAAAATGTTAAAAACACCTCATGTCGGACCACTTTTGGAAGTTCAGATGTCGAAAAAGTGCACGCCGCTGTGGCGCGAAGCACATTTCCACGTCAACATGTTAAAAACACTAGGCCTAGTCACTAGGGGTCCAGACCACTTTTGGAAGTTCGGATGTCGAAAAAGTGCATGCCGTTGTTGCGCGAAGGACATTTCGAAGTCAAAATGTTCAAAACACTAGGGGTTCGGACCACTTTTGGAGGTTCAGATGTCGCTTCGCTTCACTACACTACACT